GGGATTCGCGCTGTTGTTGGAAGTTCCCACCTAAATGCATTATTGATATTTTGGAGTTCTTGGAGTGTGCCAAGAGTTATGCACACCTTGTAGTAGAAGGTGAGCTATTGAAGGATCCAATCGAACTAAAGAAGATCGATAAAAGGATAGTGTCGGTCTTTGTCGTCGACAAGCGTTCGCACAAAATTTGTCATTTGACGAAAGGCACAGTGGTTAAAACACTAGAATCCCTGAGGTATAAGCAACTTCTGATCGTTAAGGGTAAAGGTTTTTTTCATTTGGGACATACTGTTACCCACTGGCGAAGACTGCGTAAGAGCTACAAGTCAGGATTTAATCACGAAAGATTTAATTCTCCGTAATAAGTACGAAGGCACGAAAAGCACCAGTAGCAGTAAGCGAGGTCCCTCTCAGGTTATCAGGGACCACATGGCGGCTTTCTTGTCCCAGTACGGGGAAATTTGGGGTGCTTCCTGTGATAGCCTGACTTGGGGATGGAGCTTTGACATTATGTTGGACCGTAAAGCCTTCATCTCTATCGCCAAATGTCTGGAAGTTGGTGACCGGCCGTAAACTAGTTTGTTGAAAGTGCAGAGAGACTGGTCACCTCTCCTCTTCCTACCCAGAGAAGAAGGCCTCTGGAAGCCAGGCCCCAGTCGATCAAACCCCTCTGACTAAGTCTTTGAAATCCGACTCAACTGTAATGGGCATGGCAGCTTCCGAGACCAGAGTAGTCGAACCCCGGTTGAGCCAAAACCAAAGCTCACATTCCCCGAAGAGCCTTCTCCTGCTGCAAGTGCAGTTGTGGAGGAGGGAGAGGGGGAATGGCAGGTTGCTGGAAGGGCCAAAAGAAGCGTCAGACAGTGGGTCCTCAGTCCCCTGAAGCCCCTGGGACAAAAGGCACTTACAGTCCCACTCCCTCTGTCAACATTACCGACCCTGAAAGCTCTACAAAAAAATATGACCCTGCATATGAAAAGACGGAAAAAGTCAACGAGGTAAAGAGGAAATTAGACCTCCGGCGCAAAACAAAATCCTCCCCCATTAAGAAAACACCTCCCTCCGCATCCACTGTCAAACGTTCAGCACACTCTCCCCAGCCCTCTACATCCAGTCAGCCCAAATCCATCTCTTCAAAGAAGGCTACAACCTCCACAACCTCTGACGCACCACTTTCTTCCCATCCCTTAACCCCTCTTTAAAAAGAGAAGTCCTCACCTGTCTCTCCATCCACGTCTTTTTCCCAACCCTCAGTCCCTCTCAGTAGAGACTCCAGCCCTTTTAGGCAAACATATACACGCCGCCACACCCCCAGTCCTTCTCCCATTAAACCCCCAGAAATGCACCCTCCACAAAACAAAAGGCTCAGTATCCCCCCACACAACTTAAATGTTAACAGGAAAAAACAAAAGCACATTTTCAATTCAGGTGAAGATGTGTGCAGAATATCCCCCATCCAAGCAGGAAAAGCACGTGACTATGGAAACAGAATAAAAAACCTAAAATATCTGTTATCCATAAAACAATTCGCCGACAAGGACATAGAAGAACCCCAAAACTTTCCCAATACGGAAAGAGTTCTAACCCTAATAAGAACTGGGACGGGGAGCGAAGCAGGCTTAGGCTATGTTGGACGAAGCTATAGACCCGAATGAAAAGTTGAAAAAATGAAGCAATTTTGTGCTGGGAGGGTCCCGGTTTTTGTTCACCCACTTCCTCTAGAGAGCACAAAAATTGACGTTTCCTTGGGATATAGGCGGCCTCTCCCAAGACGGCTGCATCAAGACTGAGATGAGCCACGGGTCGATGGGAGAGACGGCCGGTATCCTAACCCCGTCCATGTTCAATTCAGGAAAGCAACCCTAATTGTTTAGATAAATGTCTCTCTGGTTAGCTAGTATAAATGTCCGAAGCCTGAGGTCGGAGTCTCGCAGGGCGAGGCTCCCTCGAGACCATCAGCGCCTCGGGTGAAATGTTTGTTGCGTGCAAGAGATTCGGTTTTCTTCTCATGACCGTGCGGACATTCTGTCTAGGAGGTTCTCCCTTTATTCAGTATGGTTTGATGGTCGTTCGAGAGGTGTCTCTTGGCAGGTGAGCAAGTCTTTGAAGGCTGGGTGTACTCTTGTCTTCGCACACCCGGCGGGCAGACTTTGCGATCTGGATGTTACCATAAAGGATTAGGCTCTGCATCTCATTGTGGTTTATGCGCCCAATTTCCAGGCTGAGCGGTTTGCTTTGTTTCGGTGGATCGAGCCGTTCTTGACGACATCTCGTCGGGTAGTTTTAGCGGGGGATTGGAATGCCGACCTTGACTCCGATTTAGATCGTATAGGGTAAAAACCGGGTACTAGCAACCGGGACTTGAAACCATTTCGGGACTTTATCAAGGGGTTTGATCTTGTACCGGAATAAGCACCCTCGGGAGCTAGTTTGAACTTGGACAAATCGTGGCAACTCGGCTCCTGGGACGCTTGCTAGCTATCTCGACCGAGTCTTAGGAAAGTCGATGTAGTGCTCTTAGGGTGTCCAATTTTCCATTATATAGTTTATTCGGATCATAGGCTTGTCCGGGTCCGTGTAAACTTAGATAAGCCTAAGGTTAGATTTGCTGGCTACTGGAAATTAAACTGTTCATTATTTTGGTGAGCGGGATTTCCGGGACCAGCTGCCACTAATGATACAGAGAGAATTGACGGGGGCGGTTGTTGGGAATGCCTGGTGGGATAAATTAAAATCCAAAATTAGAAAGTTTGCTGCTGATTTTAGTCGTCCACTCACTCTAGATAGATTAGCGGCGCAAACGGCTTTAGAACAAAAAGTTGATCGGGCAGTTAAATGCCGTGATAGTGGGGAGCTAAGGCAATGTTGTCCTCCTTACTTATCAAGAAGGATCATGCTCTGGTAGTTAGAGCAAGGTTAAATAGAATGTCCTCTGAGGCAACGAATATGGCCGCTGAATTGCGTGCAGTGTAGAATCGGAGCGCGCCTCGGCGACATATCGCGTGCGTCACATTGACGGATAAGCGGACCGTGACTACAAACGAGGGCATATGTGAGGCTTTTCGTGAGTACTTTCAGGAACTTTTCACCAGAGAGACCGGTCTGAGCCCTGCTTAATTCGACGTCTATTTAGCTGATTTTCCCTGCCTTAAGATTGACGAAGTCAGCAAAGAAATCAGTGGTTATGAGATGTTGACTGGGGCCAAGATCAACGGCGATGTCTGATGGCATGCGGTTGGGTGCGTGGAAGGGAGTTTCTCTTCCCGGGCCTTTCCTCTGGACGGATAGCCTGGTCAAGATTCTCGGAGTCTGGTTCGGTCCTGATCTCCAGTTAGAAATGAATTGGTCGGAGGTGCAAGGGAAGGCCGAGATAGCAATTAATTTGTGGTCTCGAAGGAATCTTTCCTTAAAGAGGAGGACAGACGAGACTCTGCCCTTCGGCATAGCCTCATCTGGGTTCCTCTTCGCACGAAGGCAGATAGTTCGACTAGCTTAGCTGGAGATGAATCTCCAACTAATTGCCGAAGCAAGTCCATGCAAAGTAAAAAGAATATTTACTTCTGTAAAATACAGTCGAACTATCTGCCTTCGTGCGAAGAGGAACCCAGATGAGGCTATGCCGAAGGGCAGAGTCTCCGTCAGGGGAGGTAGACAGCTACCCAACCCCGTTTTTTACTCGGTCTACGGGGAAATTTTGCCCGAGCCTACAGGCTCGGATACCCCACGTTAAATTCGGCCCTGCGCCACATCTGACCGCGTGCGGTGGTTGGCAACTATGCTTTTTACTTTGCATTTCAGCGGACACATTTAAAAATTCAATCTCTCGAAGAAATCATCGTTTTCCCCCACTTATGGGAAAATGCCATGAAACACACATACACGTAGGTACGAACATTCACCAAAATACAAACTCTTTACGTTCATACTCAAACACAAATGTTGATGTCTTTTTCACTTGTAAATTTTTTGTTTAATACATATATTTGTTGATATATATATATCGGTCTTGTTCGTTTTCTTTACACTTCTTGATGGATTCAATCTCTGGGTCCGCATTTTTCTTGTAGTTGGACCTTCTAGCAGGTATAAACAGCACGTGTTTCTAATTCAACAACACACAAACCCACACGGTCCTATACAGATTTGTGTTGCAGCGTAAAACTGCATTTCTAACTAAATCACTTGTTGATAGTTATGCGGTCGATTTGGTTTTGTTTCTCCTCCTGGGCTTCTCCATGTCCATATTCGTCTTACTCTTGGATGATTAATATCGATTTTAACACGATTTTTGTTGGTAGAATACAATTAGCATTAGCCAGATTTAGATGATTGTCAACTCTGCCACAGTCTAAATAATGATTAATCTCACACTTATATTATTTAAATTTATAGACGGAAAGTTAGTGAGATGAAAAGTAACAAAAAAACAAAAAACTAAAAAAACAAAAACGTTTTCGATGTTATCTTCTTCGTACATTCTGACTTCACATACGACATCAAATTTCGTCTTTTAATTTCATCGTTCAGAAGTATTTTATGGCCATTGTGAATACGTAACTTACTACCTTCGTCAGAATTAGCTAAATTCAATAAAAAATCTTCCGGGCAATAATTCATTTTAATTCAGACAATGTACTGTCAAGTGACCTTGCTTACATGCTTTCATTTTTATAACCTGTTCTGACTAGTTCAGTAACCTCAGTTTTATCAACAATAATAGAAAAAAAAGAAAAGTTCACTTATAAATTGATGTCAGTGGTATTAGCACAGAACAATTTAAAATATCCATCACAGAAAGCTTAATTATTTTATTTTTCGGTAAGCAAACACTATCTAATGAAATAACCAAAGTCAGCAGACAGTCAGTTGACACGCATACACAGAGAATCCGTGAGTTGATTTTACAGGCGGCCTAAATTTTCGTCGGCGAATACGTTTGCTCATCACCGGTTATTCAACATAGCAGCAGTAATAACGTAACTTCACAATCAAGCAAGATCATGCGTCATCTCTTGCTTTTATCGCTGTTTTTCTCAATTTCTTATTTTGCTAAAGGTTAGTTTAATCTACATATCGACCTTTAATCGACATTTTCAAAGCTAACATTGCATTTATTGCTATTTTCAAGTGATATTTACTTTTTTTTTTTTCTTGTTAAGTCGGACGTCATTCATTCATACGAAACAATCAATTGTTAATTTATTTACATTTTTCACACAGAAATCATTAATTTTACATTTAATTTAACAAAAAAAAAAAAAACAAATTTAATTATTTTAATCACTTGAGATTTGTTTCTTTATTCTATTTGTTTTGTTCACATCGAAGAAAAATGTTGACTTTGGTTTTTGTTCCTGAACAAGCAATGAATTTTCGCTTCGTTTTTGAAGAATGAGTTTTTTGTTTTTTTTTTGGTTTTAAAAAGAAACATTTTTTATTCATATTATAGGTACCTCCACTAATTCGATATAAATTTTCGGTGCCTAAACTTTAAAATGAATTTTTAAAAACCTAAAAAAGCATTCTTGAGTATTTCATTTTAGCCTTAATTGAAAGCTAAATGATTTTACAATTTCCAGTCAGATTTCCTAAAAATAATATTTTCAAAAAGAAATTCATTCATTTATGAATAAGTTCTGAAAGTCTCATTAAAACCCGTCAATTATTTGATTTTTGCGAGAATTTCCAAATTGATGTGTTTTTCAATTGAAATAATGGCTAAAAAAACTAATAGTAAAAGTAAATATTATTACGTGACCGCTGATGTAAGAGAGAAAGGATTAAAAAAAATGATTAAGAAATACTTTGCTCTTTCCTCAAAAATAAACATTTTGGCAATAAAACTTTGTTTTTATTAAGTTTTGTGCCTTTTTTTATGCTATGCCGTTTTTTTTTTGTTTTTTTTTTCTCAGCCAATTAGTGGAGGTATATTAACTAAAAATTTAATTAATAATGACTTTTCTTTTAAAAACAACATTTTATTATAAATACTTTTAGAAATTCTTAAGGAAGAATTATTTATCTAATTTTCATTCAATCTTATTTTTCTTTGATTGTAAAACAAAAAAATCATATTTCGTCATAAAATTTTTCCTTTCGACTTTTCGTTTTTTGTTTTATGTAAGAAAAATGATTATTTATTTGCTTATAATTTCTTTAAGTTTTTTAGACTTTAAAAACGATGCTTTGTTTTTTTTTAAATGAACAGAAAATAAGAAAAACAAAAGTATTTTTAACGATAAATGATAAAATCTTTCAAAGTTTATTTTATCTTTATGTTTGTTTCTTTTTTCTCCTCTTGCTTTTGTTTTCGTTTTTGACAAACAAAAAAAGAAGAAAAGAACAACTAAGCAACAACAGTTATCAACTCGACACGTCCGAATTCCAAGAAGAAGAGCCAATCTGAGCTCCATCCATAAATCCTTCTCATTTGCAATCTCCTAAGATTTGAAAATGACTCACTTTTCTTAAATTTCCTCATCATACAATTTTCCTGTAGACAGTAAACGATTTATTTCAGTAACGTGAATTCTATTCGTCCCTCGTATGCCAGGCTTTTGGACCAAAAACTAAAAAAATACCTCTTCAAAACGAACATTCAAATTACTAACTAGTGATACTAAAATGAATCCAACTATTTAACTATCTTGGAAGTAACATTGGACGGATTTTGCAACTTCAAAATTCGAACGCGCATTGGGGATAGCAAAAAGTGCCTTCTAAAAAATCTAAGCAAAGTATTATTAAGAAGTGGGAATATTTTTTGGAAACAGAGAAGCATGAACTGATACGTGATATCAATCCTCCTATATAGGACTGAATGCTGGATAATCACCTCACAACTGAAGAAGTGACATGAAGTGATAAAAATGTGGTTCTACGGAAGGATGCTGAGAATATCATGGACTGAACATGTGACAACGTTTTTAGAGTAAATGGAAACAAAAAGAACATTTATATTTAGCATCAGGAAGAGACAACTGAAATTTCTAGTGCACATAATGAGGAAAGAAAATTTAACACTGACACGACATGTTAAAAGCAAAGGGGACGATGGAAATCAGCACATGACCTGCCTAACAAGTTTATATAAATGGTTGACAGATCCGGGTTTAGGAGAGATAACAAAACTTTTTTAGTTTAAATGAAAGGGAGAAGAAAAAGTTGAATGTCGCTTAGATCCTGGTGGGGAAGAAGAAGCACTGACAAAAGAGGTGATTTATAGAGAGAGAATGTGGCAAACAGGTGGGGGGGTAGATAAATTATGTGAAGGAAAAAAGAAACTATGAAATTAACCGAAAATAGGAGTTGGGTATTTTTTTTCTTTTCAACGAACTTGACAAGACAACTGTGGCTTAAAAATCACAAATGTCCACTTGTTTCTGTTAAGTGAGCTTACTGTGCTTTGTTGCAGAAATTTCTATGCAAGGTTCTTTAAAAGTTTTCACCCGAGCAGACTTCCTAAAATTTTCTCAAGCAGTGAAATTAATAACAACTGGCCTAGTCTGTTTAAGTAAATAAAAAAAAAAACAGGATTGCAACTCACACATATACACACTAAAAATAATCTTTATAATTATAAGAAATAATTTAGATAAAAAAAAAAAAAAAAAAAGGTTAAAAGATAACTATTTCATATCACTCATTCCCGCTTGCAGCTGTGAGGTCACATGATTGTGTACTCAGTATTTACACAAGACCTCCACAGAAGGTGGGATGTGGCACAAGGCTATTTTTTTATGTGGGGCAGTCTGAGCCTGTAGGCCTGGGCAAAAATTCCCTGTAGACCCTGTAATAATGGGGTTGGGTTTCTCTACCGCTCCAGACGAGACACTGTCCTTCGACACATCCTTGTCTGGGTTCCTCTCTGCCCAAAGACAGAGAATTCAACAAGATCTAAGAGCTTTAGATGCCATTTCCTTTGATGATCCTGGGGTGATACTGGTTAATATTCTGTTCCAGTAAGACACCCACAGTGAGATAACCATAAAATTTCTTGTAAATCAACTTTGAATGTTCAATTCATTTTTATGACCTTCACTAACTGAATATAAAATAGTTTTTATTTCATATTTTCTATAAATAAATGTCAGGCCTGCCTGTATTTATTCCAAACAATAAAATATATAAAACTAAATTCTAGGTTTGACAGAACCCGTTTTATCTTCAATAAGTGTGCCTGATGCTAATCTTCAGGAAAATGATTCATTGTGCCTTCTCAGACTTATGTATTCCACTGACATGAAGTGGAATAATTATATCAAATCATTTGCTAAATCTGCTGCTAAAATTTGGTTCCTTATGTTGCACTAGACAATTTTTCTCACCAGAATCTATCTTACATATTTATAAGTTTACCATTTATTTATGCTTTGAATATTGCTGCCACATTTGGTCTGGTGCTTTTGCTATATATTTAGAGATTCTGGATAAAACCAAAAGAAGAATTTGCAATGTTATTGGTTCTGACCTTCAGTGTCTTTTCCCACTGCTGTAACCTAGCTTCCCTGTGCCTTTTCTATGAATAATTGGTCCAATAAGCTTTCGTCTATTGTATCTCGGCTTTATGAATTTAAGTGCAGTACTAGATTGGAGGTAAGGTCTCATCATTTTACAGTTAAAATGGCTAGATGCAATCACATATTGTCTATGTTAGCAGTTTCTTCTATTGCACTTCCCAATTGTTGAACTCTCTTCAGACTTTTCAAACATTATTCTTTTGTTTTCTTTTAATGCTCTTAATTGTTTTTTTTTCTTCTCATATTTGCTAACACTCACTAACCCCTCATGTCTTAGTGGTATTATTACCTTGATTGAGGTGAAATGATGAAAAAAAAAAGTGTCTTTCTCATAAAAGTTAAGTAAAATTTATCCATTGAAAGAGAAAATTCTTTTGTAAAAGTCAGTTTTCTTAATTTCTTTCTTTTCAGCTAATATTTCCTCTGACTTCCGATTGGTTGTGGCAAAATGCATCAGTCAAATTCAAGAGGCAGAAAAGGAAGCAAGCTTACATATGACAGGAGGTTGTAGCTGTGCTAATTACAGTTGTGGCTGTTGTGGACACATTGAGCAATCCTCTCTGCATCTTAACGATACAGGTAAGTAGAAATATTGGCAAATTGATTGAAGAATCACACATTTATGCCAAGTCTTCATGAATTTATTTTCAATTGTTTAATTTTACTAAACTCTTTCAACTACAAAATCCAATTGACATGCATCAAATCAATAAGATCCTGAAAATATTTGTGTATTTTACAATTTCTTTTGACATCTGGAGATAATTTCTTATTACACAAACATAAAACATAGATTGGCTCTTGGTGGTTCTCGACTATGTTTTTGATCAGTGCACTGTTTTCACCATAAAATAGAATGTCCTTTCCCAAATTTCCAAGATTGTCTAACTCATAAGATGCATTCCAAATAATATATATATATATATATATATTATTGAAAATGTTCATTCTTTTCCATATTAGTACATTTACCTGGTTTTCTTTTTATAGAGGAGTTTTCCAAATCTATGAATATTTCCTATTGCTGTTACAGCAATAGAAAATGTTGATGAATTTTTAAACTTGAATACCTGTGCAGTAATTTCTTTTAATTCCTAACTAATTATTAAATAAACTGAAGCATACTTCAATAAACAAAATAGTTCAGTAGAATGCCAGGGTATTTAAATCATTTTTATTCTGCTGAAGATTACAGTTAATAATAAATTTGTGCAAAAGTAAGACTCCTGACTCAAAGCCCTGAATTCCCCTACTGGCATAGATATGCTTCATATGAAATGTTTATCAGACTGTTATCATAAAGTTTTTAAATTAATCTTTTCTTATCAAAGAATGTTTATACTCTTTCTTTATTATTCTGTCTGTAATTCTATATTAACTTAAAAAAAAAGACTGAAATGAATGTCTATTTAAACTTGTGTAAAAATTTAAAATTAAAGTGAATTTGAAATATAGATTATTCCCAATTAATTATCCCAAATTTAATTTTCTTTACCATGTTTAATTTTTATTTTATATTCTTATATATATATATATATATATATAATGAAATGATAAAAGCCATTTTTCATTCTGAAGTTATCAGAAGCTAATCAAGTTAAAATGCCTGCAAAGAAGCTGGATATATTTTTATCAATTGTTATTTATCTAGAAGCCCCCCCATGTAGATTTTAAATATTATTTTCTTCTTTTGTCCAGGTTGCCTTAACATTACTTATATACCAGAAAAATTTGGAATTTCTGTGAAATTCACTCTTGATGGTTCTGTGATCTTTTCAGAGGAAGCTTCAGGTACGATATATAACTTTTTTTTTTTCTTTTCTTTTTTTTTTTTTTTTACTCCATTCTGCTGACTTTTTCATTTTTTAAATACCATTCCCCTACAAACTGTCTTTTCTCATTTCATAGTGAATCTACTGGTTTGATTTAAAAAAAGGAGAAGGAGGGCAATTAAATCGAATTTGAGTTGTTCTTGACACATCTGATGTTCATAAAGTTTTCATGCTCGTCTTTCATGATCTCATTTTGGGTGATTACTGGTAATATTCTGTTAGTATCAACAGGAAAGAATTACTCTTTTTTCATGAATGATTATGGCATGCTAGAAACAAGACCTTTGTCAGGACATTTGATACTGGAAGCAAATGCTTTTATTTAGGACAATATATGCTGTGTGCCATTCAGTGATTCCATTCTATGCATTGTTAATGGATGTCACCTCATATACATCTAAACATACCTGCACTCAAATGCACAAATACATCTGACTGCTTTTTGTATCATGGTATAATTTCTTTGTTACATAGTTGTTACCAGGTTGTAGGTTTTCATTTGAGGTATTTTATGGCTTCTGTTGCTAAAGTACTCTCCAAGGATTTAAATTAATATTGCCCCATCATTCCGGGAACTTCAACAAATTAATCTGGTTCTGACAGTCCATGAGGTCAAGAAGGACAAAGTGGCTCTCATGAGTTCAACACCATGGCATGGGATTTAGCTGCATTCCAGAAACAACAGGACATTAGTTTTGGAATGATTGGTCAGGTTGTTTGGGATGAAACCCCATTCTGACTGGTCGGGTTGCTTTGGGATGAAACCCCATTCTGACTGGTCGGGTTGCTTTGGGATGAAACCCCATTCTGACTGGTCGGGTTGCTTTGGAATGAAACCCCATTCTGACTGGTCAGGTTGCTTTGGAATGAAACCCCATTCTGACTGGTCGGGTTGCTTGGGATGAGACAACATTTTTAATTAAAAATCTGTTATATATTTATTTTAAAAGCAATTACTCTCTTAAAAGTCACTCAATCAGTTAAATGTGATATATGATACATACTTGGGCAATTATGTCTCTTTTAATTCATGACAAGATGACGCAGATTTTCGTGCAGTTGTTGTTTCTTTCTGCAGTAGGCTGATTGCCAACCAAGGCTATATGGCACAGTTTGTCCTGCTATATAACCCATAGGTGGGAGGAGGAGAAGAGATGGATTCATACCTGTCCCAAGGGTATTAATCTGTGTCTGTAAGTGAATATCACTAACCCAACTTCATTAAAATGTGGAAAACATTATGATCTAATTCTAAGAATAAATCAAAAAAGCAAGAAAATTTTACTTTTTTCCATTAATTTTTCATTAAAAAATTTGAATGAATCATAATAAACAATATTTATGTGTTTTTTTTTTTTTCTTGTTTATCATAAAGTAAATTGAAAATCAAGGAAAACTTTTGTAAAAAATAATGAACACAGAAAAAGTAGTCATGATGCAAGGTAGGTAAGTGTAAATGAAAATTATTGGTCAACTTTTTGACCTTGAATGGTTGGAATGTATTAAAAATTCTTCATATAAAAAAAAAATGAATGCCTAGAAAACTTCTTACAGCATGATAAAAGCAGTAAAATTATTGAAGGTGGTTTAACTGAAATGTTTCAATTAAAGTGAAGATAGTTTTTTTTATAAAAATTAGTTAAATCTAATTAATTTGCATTTGTATTTAATCGTTTTTAAAATTTAATAGTTTAGCATTTTTTGTTTTTATTACAATTTGTACTAAGTGCATTAATCCAAATGATTATAAAGATTGACTGAATCAGAATAAATCTTTCCTAAACTTACTGTTTTTCTGATACTACTGACAATTACAAATGGAAAGATAGTTAAAAAAAAAAAAAAAAAAAAGTAATAGTTATGAGGTGGTTTAAAATTTTTCTGGACCATTCTGTGATGTTGAAAAAAAGTTTGGAGCCTTAGTCTTCTGCCGATATAAGACCATGTCAATATCAGGAAAGAAACTCTTGTTTTCCTTTTATTCTAGCATAATATGTCAAGGTGACCTATAGCAAGGGAAAAAAATACAAGAAACCAATCTTTTCACAAGGGAAAACAGAATTTGTTCATGGATTCTTTTGTTTTGGTGCCAATAACACTGATACCACAGCTCATTTAATTTACAAATTCCAGAAATTGTAATCTTTTTTTTCTTGCTTGGCTCTGTTAAGATTGGATTAACTTTATGAATTGAAAAATGAAAATTCTTTTGTCCTTACAGTAAAAAAATAAATTTGTTTAACAAAAAAGAACTAAGAAAATTTGCTGCATTTGTTCAAAATTAGAGTCAAACATTTACTGTCTAATGTTCTTGACATTTTCTCAGCTCAGGAAAGAAATCGTTGGAAAATTTACATTACTATTTTTGACATGAAAAGTCATTCATGAGTTCATTTAGAATTTTGATTGTTTTATTTATTTATTTATTTTTTTTTTTCGTATTATGAATCTTATTTTTAAGGCCTTTTTTTATAGAAAAGGTAGTTTTTGTGGCTAAATATCTTTCTCTCTCTCAAAACACATTTCTATCTTAGAAACAAATGTGTGCTAATGTATAAAAAAGGCTTGCATAGTAATCATTTTGCACATTTTTTATTTACATTTGGATATATTATTACTTTCAAGGTGGGAAGTTTCTGTAGGTCTTGTCTAGGGTCAAAGTACTGCATCCTGGCACTTCTGCCTAAAATCAGAGTTTAGTAACACTGAAAAGTGTTACCATATTTTTATTAAACAAAAAATGGGAGTTGCACTATACACAGGTAATTTTTTGAATAGTTTATGCTCCTACACACATGCCTTGAGGTTACCCATGGATTTCCATGAGTCCAATAACGACAATTCTGTTGATTCAACCTGTCATTACAATGAAAACGAGCTTAACCACTCATTAACAAAATGAGGTTGTCATTTGCCTAAAAAATTGCTTCCGTCTGATATGTGAAGTTAAGCCACTGTGCATAGTCCCCTGCTCTCAACTGTTGTCAAATGACCTATTTTTAAGGGTGGAAATGCAGTTCTTCATGCAAAATACACCTTACTGAATGATTATCAATGCCAAGTTCAGTAGCATGCCTCCAAGACTTCATGAGACCATCATAGGTGAATAAACATTGCTCTATCATCTATCACATGGCTTGAAATGAAAAGTAAAAGAAAATGCCAAGATGCCACAGACCAAATGGTACTTGTTGGATATATGTCCCTCCCCCTGGGGCTGAGTAATAGCCATTTCAAAAACATCTGTCCTTTCTGCCTCACCTTGTTTGTGTGCGCATATGTATCTATCTAAATGTTGATGTTTCACTACTTTGTGATCATTTCCAAAACCTGAATAAAAACTCTCATTACCAATAACATCCAAGCATACAATACACTAACCAATTAGTTTTCATATACTCTATTTTATTCATACTCAGTTAGATATTTCATATCATTCATTTATCACACACATATATAATTTTTTCTAAATAGTCCCCCAATGCAAAGTTCAAAAATTGTCGAAGGTAGAGGGGTTACTGAATGAAGTTTTTTTTTTTAATGGGTGAAAAAGGAGAAAAGAAGTGTACGTTAATGGGAACATTATAAAGTATGGTAAGCAAGATATTGTTGCCTGCATTCTGGCATTTTTTTAGCTCCCGTCCTGGGTATGATGATAAACTACATTCCGTCCTGGGTAAGACGATAAATTACCTCCAACAGCAAGGCCTCTGATCAGTAGGTTTTGAGGAGTGTGGAACTGCCTCTCAATTGCTGGTGTTCCCAGGTCCACCCTGATCCAGGGTGGTAGCACCTGTTAGGGTCCCAGCTATGGGCAAATAGTTAACACCCAAACTTGTGTAAAAATAGGTTTTAATAACAGAATTACTTTGTTATAATAATAATAATAACAATAATAATAATAAAAAAACTTAAAAAAAAAAATACCAGCAATACAGCTATACATTGCAAAAAAATATTAGTGAAACATGTTAGATTTTATATACATTTCCTATGTGTTCCTTTAATTTTATATATCTCCAAAGAACAGACAGATTAAGAATCTACAGTTCTTTAGCATTTACTTTTTTAAAAAAGTGCTTGATACAACATGGGGAAAAATATATTTTTATTTAAAAAATATTTGACATTGCTACATAAAAATGTCTGTTTTGGAACTTGAAATTGTTCCATCATCAAGTGATGTTGGGTATCTTATGGAAATGATTTACTGTAAAATTATTGTAAAATAGAAAACAATACTGTAGCATATTTAAGAGGTAAAAATGAGTAAGGAACAAGATTTCAAAATTTTGTGGGTATGTCTACGTTATTTAATCAAAAGACAAGTTACACCTAAAGCAGAAAAGTGAGAAATAAAAGTTGGAAGTTACGGGTAGGTTTGTTATTCATTCGTTTCTAGATGAAAAGTTCTGAATAGAAATTTTTATGTAGCGATGTAAAATATTTTTTTAATAAAAATATTATTTTATATATATGATATATATTTTAAAGAAAAACAGACCACTTTAAGGTTCCATTATAATAATTTATTTCACCAGAGCCCTTTTAAAGGATGTTGGATCATCAGATAGCACTTCCAAAAGATGGAACGAGAAATGAAAATTGATTGGTAGTGTAAGTTTTTGTAATTTAACAGAGAGTGCAATCAGGAGTGGTTAGAGAGACATGGTAGAGTTTAGGGAGGGATTAATTTAATATCTCTCTGAATCATACTTAGTATTGGGGGAGGAGGAGTGACCAGACCATGACCTATTTAAACAGTTAACTTAACGGAAGTGATATAATGAAATGTTGGTGGGGGGGAGAAGAGATAAAGGAAAAAGAAAGAAGGGGGAAGTAAAGAGAAAGAGGCTGTAAATGGGTTTTACATATGAAGGAGAGGGGTGGTAAGTTTTAGCAATTTATGTAAAAAATAGATTTTAATGTTTGATAGTAATTTAGATGTCTAAAAAATCC